CTACAGTCTCACTCTACCTAGAGTCACACTCTACCTAGAGTCTCACTCTACCTAGACTCACACTCTACCTAGCGTCTCGCTATACCTAGACTCACACTCTACCTAGAGTTCACTCTACCTAGAGTCTCACTCTACGTAGATTCACACTCTACCTAGACTCACACTCTACCTCGAGTCTCACTCTACCTAGAGCCTCACTCTACCTAGACTCACACTCTACCTAGACTCACACTCTACCTAGAGTCACACTCTACCTAGAGTCACACTCTACCTAGACTCACACTCTACCTAGAGTCATCACTCTACCTAGAGTCACACTCTACCTAGAGTCACACTCTACCTAGACTCACACTCTACCTCGAGTCTCACTTCTACCTAGAGCCTCATCTACCTAGACTCACACTCTACCTAGACTCACACTCTACCTAGAGTCACACTCTACCTAGTCTCACACTCTACCTAGACTCACACTCCTACACTAGACTCCTACTCTACCTAGAGTCACACTCTACTAGAGTCACACTCTACCAGACTCACAACTCTACCTCGAGTCTCACTCTACCTAGAGGCCTCACTCTACCTAGACTCACACTCTACCTAGACTCACACTCTACCTAGACTCATACTCTACCTAGAGTCACACTCTACCTAGAGTCACACTCTACCTAGACTCACACTCTACCTCGAGTCTCACTCTACCTAGAGCCTCACTCTACCTAGACTCACACTCTACTAGCTCACACTCTACCTAGAGTCACACTGTACCTAGAGTCACACTCTACCTAGACTCACACTCTACCTACAGTCTCACTCTACCTAGAGTCACACTCTACCTAGAGTCTCACTCTACCTAGACTCACACTCTACCTAGACTCACACTCTACCTAGAGTCTCACTCTACCTAGAGTCTCACTCTACCTAGACTCACACTCTACCTAGACTCACACTCTACCTAGAGTCTCACTCTACCTAGAGTCACACTCTACCTAGAGTCTCACTCTACCTACACTCACACTCTACCTAGAGTCTCACTCTACCTAGACTCACACTCTACCTAGAGTCACACTCTACCTAGATTAACACTTTACCTGGAGTCACACATTACCCGGAGTCACACTCTCCCTAGAGTCACACTCTGCCTAGAGTATCACTCTACGTAGAGTCTCACTCTACCTAGACGCACACTCTACCTAGAGTCTCACTCTACCTAGACTCACACTCTACCTAGACTCACACTCTACCTAGACTCACACTCTACCTAGACTCTCACTCTCCCAAGAGTCACACTCTACCTGGAGTTTCACTCTACCTAGACACACCCTCTACCTAGACTCACACTCTACCTAGAATCACACTCTACCTAGACTCACACTCTACCTAGACTCACACTCTACTTAGACTCACACTCTACCTAGAGTCTCACTCTACCTAGACTCACACTCTACCTATAGTCTCACTCTACCTAGAGTCTCACTCTACCTAGACTCACACTCTACCTAGCGTCTCGCTCTACCTAGACTCACACTCTACCTAGAGTTTCACTCTACCTAGAGTCTCACTCTACCTAGAGTCACACTCTACCTAGACTCACACTCTATCTAGATTCACACTCTACCTAGAGTCTCACTCTACCTAGAGTCTTACTCTACCTAGAGTCTCACTTTACCTAGAGTCTCACTCTACCTAGACTCACACTCTACCTAGACTCACACTCTACCTAGAGCCTCACTCTACCTCGAGTCTCACTCTACCTAGAGTCTCACTCTACCTAGACTCACACTCTGCCTAGACTCACACTTTACCTAGAGCCTCACTCTACCTAGAGTCTCCCTCTACCTAGTCTCACACTCTACCTAGACTCACACTCTACCTAGACTCATACTCTACCTAGAGTCACACTCTACCTAGAGCCTCACTCTACCTAGACTGACACTCTACCTAGACTCACACTCTACCTAGAGTCACACTGTACCTAGAGTCACACTCTACCTAGACTCACACTCTACCTACAGTCTCACTCTACCTAGAATCACACTCTACCTAGAGTCTCACTCTACCTAGACTCACACTCTACCTAGCGTCTCGCTATACCTAGACTCACACTCTACCTAGAGTTTCACTCTACCTAGAGTCTCACTCTACGTAGAGTCACACTCTACCTAGACTCACACTCTACCTCGAGTCTCACTCTACCTAGAGCCTCACTCTACCTAGACTCACACTCTACCTAGACTCACACTCTACCTAGAGTCACACTCTACCTAGTCTCACACTCTACCTAGACTCACACTCTACCTAGACTCATACTCTACCTAGAGTCACACTCTACCTAGAGTCACACTCTACCTAGACTCACACTCTACCTCGAGTCTCACTCTACCTAGAGCCTCACTCTACCTAGACTCACACTCTACCTAGACTCACACTCTACCTAGAGTCACATACTCTACCTAGAGTCACACTCTACTAGAGTCCACACTCTACCCTAGACTCTCACTCTACCTCGAGTCTCACTCTACCTAGAGCCTCACTCTACCTAGACTCACACTCTACCTAGACTCACACTCTACCTAGAGTCACACTGTACCTAGAGTCACACTCTACCTAGACTCACACTCTACCTACAGTCTCACTCTACCTAGAGTCACACTCTACCTAGAGTCTCACTCTACCTAGACTCACACTCTACCTAGACTCACACTCTACCTAGAGTCTCACTCTACCTAGAGTCTCACTCTACCTAGACTCACACTCTACCTAGACTCACACTCTACCTAGAGTCTCACTCTACCTAGAGTCACACTCTACCTAGAGTCTCACTCTACCTACACTCACACTCTACCTAGAGAGTCTCACTCTAACTAGACTCACACTCTACC